AGGACATACGAGATCAAGCCTAAGGACCAAACCGTGTGGAGCTAATGAGGGATTTATTTCCACTAAAGCTGGAAATGTGTCCTCAGTGTAAGAATTAATGAGAGGCGGATGCACTGGGCAGAAAGGACACCAAGAAAAGCTTCCTTCTTTGTCTTTGGAGTTGCATGGAATACGAGCACTTTCCTAAAAAAGGACAGTGGACGCAAGTTTTTACCATTTGACAAAGCTCAAAGGAGAGTTCAGCTCGCAGCGGTTACGGGCTGGTGGCTCTCCTGGACAGGCAGTGGAAGGGACCACAAATAACCTCGGTAGGACAGGGAATGCCAGTCAGATGGGAGCGCTCCTGAGGAAGCTGTGAGGGAGAGGAAGACGGGAGGAGGGAGCAGGAGAGAGAAAAGACAGGGACATGATTCAACTCAGAAAAAAGGGCAGTTTAATCAGACCTCAAATGACTTAAAATATAAGAATTGTCTGTCATAGAATATTAAGTGAGTATAACTATGTATGCTTCAAAAACAGAGAAATGTAAAATACAAGGCAAAAATGAAGCAGAGAACAGAAATGATGAGGAAAAAATAGAAATAAAGAAAAATATTTTTATTCCTTAATAAAAGACCTTAAGACAAAAGAATCAAAACTGAGAAACAAATGAACAGAGCATCAAGAAATTACAAAACCTCATATTTGAAGGTAAAGTTCTTAGAGGAGGGGTTCAGCATCGAAGTGGATGTATGTGGAGAAAGACCTCATGGCCTCAAGACCGTGAAGAGATTGTTCAGAATGTACCTCAGAGCAGGAAAGGTGTGCAAACTGTGAAATGCAGGCTGAGATACAGGGCAGACTGAATAACAAGATTTAACATACTTTCAATTGGGTTTCTAGAAGAAGAAAATGGGGAAGAAAGAACATTAAAAGATGCTATGGTTGGAAATTTTCTAGAATTATTAAGAGCAAACTCCAGATCCAGGAATCCCGAGGGTCAGAAACAAAAAAAATGGGGAGGCACATGCAGGCACACGAGAGCATGACATCATGGAGCAACACGGGCAATTAAACACCCGGAGTGCAGCTAGCGAGAAAAGTCATCTATACGTGATTTCTAATGTCTGGATTCAGGGGCTGGATGCTGGCCGCCTCCTGGAGCTGACAAGTGTCACCACGTGTGGCAAAAGAGACTTTGCAGATGGGAGATGGCGAGCTTGCCTGGTGTTCTGGTTGGGTCCTGAGGGCAGGCACTAGCATCCTTCTTAGAGGAGTCTCTGGAGTGATGTGGCTACAAACCCAGCACTGCTGGCAGCCATCAGGAGCTCGAGTGAGGAGGAGCAAGTCTCCCCTAGAAGCCTCCAGAAGAACAGCTTGCCAGCCCCTTCCTTTCAGCCCAGGAGGACTGATTTTGAACTTGCTGCTTCTGAAAACTGTGACAGGAAAGTATCCTGTTACTCTAAATGTCCGGGTTTGTGACAGCTTATTATTACAGCTGTAGAGAACTGACCCACCGTAATGGAAGCCAGGAGACAGCGTCCAGTTCCTCTGCACAGGCTAAGAGAAAAGAGAAGGCAACTTAGAATATTTTCCATGACAAGGTCAAAGTCCATTTTCTAGCAAGAGAACCAAACAGGTGCAAGCTGGATCTATCACCAGAAAACCCACGTTAAAGGATGTGTTGTTCAGTGGTATGCTTGAGGAGAATGCTCTCCGAGGTAAGCCTTGAGGTTCAGAAAAGATATCTGACAAAAATATTAATCAGGGCAGTCGTGGCTGGGAGGAGCTGGCACTCCTGTGAGCCAGCTGGCACTTGGGCTAGGAGACAGGAAGAGCTGTCCCCCACCCCTGTAAGTAACCAGCTGACTTGGAGGAACACAGGCTGAGATCATCGCTACTGAAGTCAAATACAACTTAATGCCCATATTTGATTGACTTGGCTGGCTGAAAATCAGCAGTCTGAGCATCTACTTGGAGGATAACGATATGCTATATAGCAGCTATGGGGGGCTCTCTTCTCTCTGATTTTTGAAATCCAGTATTGTTCTTACTGCTTTTCTTGGTTCTGTTTTATTGTGTTGTTTTATTCCCTTTTAAATTAAAAAATTAATCAACATTGGTTACATAGACAAGCACTGACTTTCTAAAGTAATCAAAATAAGGTGGAATAGAAAGGCATAAAGGCATAAGTCAGCATTTAAGTATGGAATGATATTTACACATTAGCTAGGCTGCTCTTCACTGGAGGTTGACGTTGACAAAGAGCACGAAAATGCTGGTTAATTTCACATTTTCAACTATACATAATAAGATACATATGATAACCAGTAAAAGACTAATATACAAAACATAACACCAAAAAGAGGGTAAACAAATAAAAACAGGAAAAATACTATTCTGGTGTGAAAATATAAAACAAGGTTTAAAAAGAAACAGCAAAGTATATAAATAATACTGTAAAATAAATTCAAGTATGTAAATAATCATAATTAACATAAATGGGTTAACATTTTTCACTAAGAACTTAAATGTGGATATAAAAACTTCCGCTATAGTTTGTTTTTAGAAATCCCAACTAAAATGTAAGAGAAAGACTGACAGCAAAGAGGTAGAAAAAGAGCAGACAGATAACTAACCAAAATAAAACTGGTATAGTTATGTAAATATCAGATGCAACGGACTGTAAGTCATAAAAATTATTAGAATAAAGTGGCTGTAAAGGGATGTATATGAAAGACACTTGACTTAGCCCTGATGACCCGCCTTGTCCAACCAGTCCTTAACTCCTAACTGCACACCAGCTAGACACCTATCAGCTGACCAGTCCCTCAGTCTGACAGTCATCCAATCACCATCAGACACGTGAGACTTTGGAGAGACATTTCAGGTGCAACCATAAAACACTCTTGAGAAATTATACAAGGGTATCAAGGCTGCACACAGGAAAAAATGTATGCAGCGACTTTGTTGGTGAGAGTAAAGAAACCAGACATCCCAATGGTGACCAGCAGTCAGGTTGACAGAGCCACACTGTCCAGCCTGAAAGTGATTTCCCTGGAGCTGCTCCCATCACCTCGTCAAGTTTTACACTCCACCCATCATTTGTAAACATGAGTGAATATTGGGGTTATGAAAGGAGTCTGGGGAGAGCGCGCAGATTTTGCTTGTTGGTGTGGGGCAGAGCTAGTTCTCTGTAATTTTATCAAATTGTGATTCTGTGCATGATCAAACTTGAGAGCCACTGTGTTAACACTCATTTGCAGGAGGCCTGCCTGCTCTTCAGCTTACACAAAACAGAGCAAAACACGCAGAACAGGCTGCATGTCCTGTGTGGATTGCCCCCAGGTGTCCTGACAGAATCTGCTCTGAGGGGGGCATTTGGGAGTGGGCATCCAACCAACTGATGGGAACGGGCATTTGTTCATTCCTGAGCTTGGAGATCATTCGTACTTAGTATGTGTATTATATACAAGCATAAAACATGTTTCACCATACAAGTTTGAGTTAATAAAGTAAGAAATCTTTACATTGAGGCTGTGTCCTCCAGTGAGCATCTGCAAGCCTGTGGTCTGGGGTTTTCCCTGCCGACTTACTGATTTCCAATAGTGGTGTTTACACTGTCTTGCTTCTTCTGCTCATTAGTAGCCCTACCTGGAAGTGTTCATTCAGCTGGGACAAAGGGAGACTTTGCCCCTTTTTATCACCTCTGAGGAATTAGGGAAGTTGCTTTTGTGGATTGCAGGTTTCCTGGACCAGATAGGGACAGTTGTGGAGAGCAGGGAGCAGGGTGGGGGTCATCGGCTTGCAGGGACTATGCTGTGACCCAGAGCCAGTGGAGGTGAGCTGGTGTAGGGCACAGAGGGAGGTCTGCAAGGCCCTGGCAGAGCCTCACCATGAGGAAGGCAATTGGCAGCTAATGGGCTGGTGGAGAGCTGTGCCAGGTCCTGCAGGAGTGCTGGGCAGACAGAGCACTACAGGTAGGGGCTGCAGATGAGGGTGGCCAGGGGCGGGGCTGCCCACCCACACCAGTTACAGCACAGCTGCACCTGAGTTCCTTAGCCACTCCTGCCAGGTGCACTTGCAGAAAGGTCCCCTGCCACCTGCTAAGTCAGCTCTTGCTCTTGCTGTCCACCTTCTGGGCCCTCTCAGGCTCCCCTGCAGAGCGCTCCCCAGCCCCGATGACCTCCCCAGCTCGGTGAAGATCATGGCCTTCCACCCACCCCAGTGCTGCTGCAAAGAACAGTCAGTCTGCTCACCCATGCTCAGCTGCACCCCAGCTTCTCAGAGGCATGGACCCCCCTCCTTGCCCCAAGTGTTACACATTCAGTTCAGGCTTCCTCCTGGACAGAATTCCCTGTCTGCTGCCCCTTTTCAATTCCCGTGCTCGAGGGTAAAGTGGGAAAATGACTGGATCTGTCTCACACAACTCCGAAGGCTCTCGAAATGGTGATGGTTGGCGATTTCTTCCTACGATGATAAGGAAGATGGTCACAGGACGGGGTTAAGTCTGACTCTGCACGGCCGTGTCCTGGTGCCTGGTATGGAGCACAGTGCAGAGCAGATGTTGGGTAGATTTTTGTGGAATGAATGAATGAATGAATGAATGAATGAATGGTATTGCAAAGTTTGCATGCAGATATTGTCATACAAGCAGTCTCAGTGTTGCAGGAAGCCCAGGGTTCGCTGCCTGCATCAGGAAGATGACTGCCAAGTGGAGGCTCAGCCTTTGCGCAGGGCTGATGCTGCCCCTGATTCCTGACAGTGTGGGGTCCTTGGGGCCTGGCCCTGTGGAGACCTAGGTGAGGTGATTTAGCCTCTGACACGCTTTTCTGGCCTTCATGGAGAAGGGTGAAGAATCCCGTGTGGGGTGTAAGTGGTGTCGGTGACATGACAGGGACCCCATTCTTGGACGTCTTGGGCACTGGCTCTTGGGGCTGTCGTCATAGATGCTCTGGGTGGGCTTTTCGCAAGGACAGGTCCTGAGCTGATGGTAAGCATGGGTCTGGTTATTCCTCCAGGAGATCAGTGACCCTGAGATCCTGGATCTGGTCCACAGTGCCCTGGGCAGGATGACCGTGGTCCGGCAGATATTCCCTTCCGCGAAGGACAATCAGAAGTGCATGAGGAACAATCACCGCATCTCCTCCCTGCTCTGCGACCCCCAGGAAGGCTACCTTCAGATGCTGCAGGTCAGTACGCTCTCCCCACCTCCGGGGACCCGGGATTACACCCTTGACCTGTGGCAGGAGACTCGCCGGGCTTTCTGGGTGCCAGCTGAGTGCTGTCGTCCTCAGACTTTAATTACTCAGACTGCCGTGTGCTGCAATTGAAGCTTGTTGACTGACTGGACCGTGTTCCTGTGTAGCTTTAGCAGGCAATTAGGCCTGTTGTTAGTACACAGGGTCTGTTGGCTCTCCAGGTGCCCCTGTGATTTACCGGTTACACGCTAGGTGGAAAGGAGATTGGGGGCCTCTTAGGCCTTGAAAACTGGTTCCTGAGTGTCTGGCAGGGGGCTCTTCCATGTTAGAAGTCACCAGTGGAAACAGGGCGTCTATAGACTGGGAGTTGGCCTGGCCCACCTGTTGAGAGCTGAGGTCAGAGTCAGCCAGGACTCTGCTGGGTTCGAAGCTGAGCAGAGAGAGGCCAGAGAGCAGGCCTAGGACACGACCCCCAGCTCCTTCCAAAGCAAGCAGTATCAAGGGGCTGCAGTCGGTCGGTCCTTTGCTGCCCAGCACGTGAGCACAGGCACTGGCTTGTCCTGTGGCCGTGGGATGGGATGGGGAGACTCAGGCTGGCTGCATCGAGTGGATTTCTGCCTGGAGATTGAGGAGCAACAGGAAAAAGAGTGGAGACTGCCCGCTGGTCATCCCGAATCTGCTTTCCCATTAGGCATGTCATGCCCAGAGAACTGTTACTGCTGTTTTCTGGAGGCCACGTGACAGAGGGGCATTTCCAGTTGGGTTTATGAAAGCTGGCCTAGAAGTTTGCATGCCTGACACCCTCACCACTTAGTGTTTGGAACCAGCCCTGCCTTCTTCATGCAGACAGGTGACGCGTGGACACCAGGGCTTCTGGCCAGAGGGGGCTGTAGCTGCCCCACCCCAGGACCTTTGCAATCGTCATAACAGGGGCCCCACATCTTGGGCCGGGGGGGGGGTGGTTTCTGGAATCTTGAGTGGGCTGTAGACATCATAATTTGCCAAAGCATTGAATTTACTCTATAATCTTATATTTGGGGAGGAAAAAGAAAACATGTCTCAATAGATGACAAACATGAGAAATACAATCATTCTTTGGTTCACATTTTTGTTCGAGAACAACTTGGTTTGCAGACAGAAGCATTTTGCAGAAGTTCACGTCTGTTTTCGAACTCAGCATCATGCACTGTGGAAGAATTTAGGTTCACGAACCCGGAGACCAGTGTACATTCTCAGTGGCTGGGAACCTGCAGACGCTGGTGCCCACTGCACAGGGAATCCATCAATCAGCTGGCTGGACGCACAGGGACCCTGCCAGCTGGCTGGACTGGATGGGGTGTGTGGGGTCTTTCCGAGGTGGAAAGGGGTTGCTCAAGAGGACCAATGGCCCCTGCACGGCATGGAGACTAGACAGGGTTGGGTTCATGGCTCAGCAAGGTCCGTGGTGCAGTTGTACCTTTTTGGAGGCTGCTGTGTGTGTTTCCTTCCTTCTTCTGGAGCCTGGAAGACGATAACCCTGAAAGTGCTTCTCATGGGGCCTGTGTGGGTCAGTCCATGTGCACAGAGATGAGGTGGACAGGGGACAGGCAGTGTCTGTGCCCCCAGCCCCATGCAGGAGGAGCAGTAGCTAAGCCCTCTGCCGTGTGTGGGGCCTGAGCCCCGAGGGCCTCCCTCATCTCCCCACGTGTTTCCCCCTCTCCAGACGCATGCTGCGGCCCTGCCTCACGTCCCTCTGTTCCACTCTATTTCCTGCTAACTCAAACTCAGCCTGCCAACAGGCACACAGAGGCCATTCTTCATCTCCTGAGCATGGGCTGCTCTCGCAGGGGTGAGGGAGAGAGGACAGTACTTCTCTCAGTCTGTGCTGTGGCCCAGAGTGTGCAAAGAGGAGGGGACTCAGTCTGCTTTAAAAGACACATGAGGTGCAGAGGACCTGTCCCCTGGACAGTGATGAGCGAGCAGGGACACCAAGGGACTGGAGCCCAGCTGCGGCCATCCGAGTACTCCCAGTAAGATGGCAGGCAGAGGTGCAGCACCGAGACGTGCAGCTGACCATTGCTGGACAGAGCACATGAGTTGTGGGACCAAGGGAGCCTCAGACACCCTCCTCCCTCTGCTCCTGCTGAGACCTGGCCTCCTAGGAGGAGGTGAACCCACGGGCTCCCCCGCAGCACCTCACAGCAGCAGGGCAGGAGCCAGACTGCCTGCGTACAAATCCCACTGACTCTGCTTCCTGGTTAGTTAATTATTTTACTCGCTTGTCATTCTGTGTCTCAGCTTCCTGATCTGTCGTCTGGGAACTAGACTATTACTTGGGCCCTAAAGCCAACGGAAGACTCAGTGGGAACAGAGCTGAGCTGTTAACAGTGTCCTTATTACTGAGGAGGTGGCCAGGTGTGTGCGCGTGCACACACACACACACACACACACACGCACGCACACACTAGTGTCCACCTGCCTTTCTGAACCTGCTTTTTGTTTTATTTTGAAGCGGCACCCCGGGTAGACGTGTCCCCCCACTCTATCCCCTTCCTGCCCGTTTTCCTGTCTGTGCCACTGGGGCAGGTGCTCAGTCGCAGATGCCTGGGTGGGAGGGGACCGGCTGTGTCTTTCACACCCATTTGGCTCTTCCTACAAGACCCAACCTGGTGAGGACTCGCAGGGTGAATCTGTTGGAAACGCAGGTCTCAACACAACTTAAGTCTCCTCTAGGAACCTCTTTGTCTATATAAAGCAAAGCACTTCATTAGAGAAATTTCCGTCTCCATTTTTACGCCTCCGCTTCCTTGTGCGGGGCTGTGATGGGGAGGAAATGTGGATTTATTTACTCCTGCCCAGCAGCCACTTGGGCAGCCTGTAGATTCATCTCATTCGCAAGCGTTCCCTTCCAGATTCTTAGAAACCATTACCATTTCTCTCTCGCCTAATGATGGCGTGGAAGGCAAACTAATTTCTCCTAGCCTCTAGCTGTGAGATTTATGGAGAAGACACAAACATGCTTCCAACAACCAACTCAAGGAAAAGAAAAACATTGATGTCATGGGTTATTAACTTTGTCTTGATGAAATTAATGAAAATCCTCTTGGAAATGGAGCTTTCTAGTCTGTCTCCATTGCGTCCCCAGACAGCTGCAGTTGGGCTGATAATTCTGGCGTAGGGGTCCCCGTGAGGACCATCAGGAAAGGGGCATTTCTGCAGCAGGTCCTCTTCCGGCTTCTCTGTCCAGCTGGCCTCAGAGCTCCGTCTTCCTCTATTAGGGGTGTGGCCCAAGCTTCCTGTGTTCCAAAGCCAGCCAGGCGCTCTTAGAGCAAATCAATTGGGTTGCTGTTTGGTCATAAGTCCCTAGAAGAAAAATCCCTAAATGAGTGAGTCCTAGTTGTCTGAAAGCATTGTACCTGCCAGTGTGCAGCGGCCCCCTTTATCTTTCCTTACAAATTGTGGTCTGATTTGGGTGTTGCTCAGTCTTGTTTTCTTGACAGTTTAGTTTAGGGCTTGCCTGGCTCAGCTAGTAATAAAAGTGATCACCGGCCCCTCGGCACCCGAGCCTTTGCTAAGCTTTTACGGCAGCCTAGCTCTGAGGAGACTCTGCCTGCTGCGTGACCTGGTGACTTCAGGCCTGTAACTGAAATAAGGGGTGAATTATCACCTTGCCACCTGATTTACAGTCACACGTATTTGCAAAGGGGGCAGACAATGATGTAAACTGTGTGGTCTGGTCCCCGAGGAGCCTGCTCCAGGGATGAGGCCTGGAGGCGCCCATGGAATTGTCCTTGAGTGCCCCCTTAGCTGGGAATCCCCCTTCTTGGTGCATCTGAAGATTGCTAGAAGGCTGACTGAGCTCGCTCCTCCTCCTGGGCTCAGCCTAGTAAAGCATGTCGCCCCGACACACCTCTGTTTCTTTGGAGCTGCCTGGCCTCTTCCCTGGTGGCAAGGTTATCAACCTCTTAGGATAAGCCTTTGCTCTGGAGACTTCCCCAAGCTCCTGACATCCCGAAGGCCCAGACACAGAAGCCTGACGGGGAGAGCAGAGTCCTGTGCTGCAAACCAGTACCCAGAGGTCTCTGGAGGCTGTGCAGGGGTTTGGAGGCCATCAAGCCTCAGGGATGGACAAACGTCCTCTCCTTTGTCCCACCTGCCCTCGGTTCAGCAGAGCCCCCTGCATCCTCTTCACCCTCTGCCGCCATCTGCTGCATCCTCTGACCTGGCCCCGGTGCCCTCTCTCAGGACGCGTGGGCTGGCAGCAGTTGGCACCGTGACATTTCGCAGCACCAATTCCTCCAGTTGTGGCATCTGGACATCAGCCTGTCCTCCTGGCTGGACCTTCTGTCCGCTGTTTCTCTGACATTGCTGTTCTAACAGTGTTGCCAGTGCCTGTTGTCTGCCTCTGTAATATCTCCAGGACGGTCTGCTTTACTCGACTAACGAGGCAGGGGAGGGCTCCTGGGCTCTTCAGGAGCCCCCAGGAAATAAGTCTTTCTCATGAAAATGTCCCCGCATTTCTGGCTTTGGTATTGCGAGGCTAGTGACCAAGCCTGAGATACAGCTGGCCTATGTGCCCTGTCCCTGGCCCTCCCTGCACCTGCCTGTGTCTTCGGGGATGGTCCTGACTGACATGGTGCACGAGGCCCCCCGGGTGCCCTGAGCATGGCAGCAGCAAGGCTGGAGCACCCCAGGGAGGAGTGCCAGGGAGACAGGCAGACTGCGGGGCATGCAGCAGGGGCATCCTCTGACCTGCTGTGTCCTGGCCCTTCCAGGCTGATGGGCATGGGCAGAGGCCTCGGCCTCCATCTCCAACAGGCCTGGCAGCCTCCAGCTATCCGGAGGGGCTCAGCGCATTGGGGGCCCTCATCAGTCCTTCGGTAGGGGGGCAGGGCCTGGGGGTGGAGCAATAACAGGGCTGCTTCCACCCGACCTGGTCTCATCCTGGAGCGAAGGCAGCGCCTTCCGTGGGTTCTTCCCGTTATTTTCTGCTCTGTGGCGTCCTCCTGAGA